AAATAATCAAATTAAAATATAAGAAAAATATAAGACTTACCCCTCCATCGAAATAGCCATTGTCTTCGACCCCTAATAATACGCCCCACCAAGACCGATCAAGCAACAAATAGATATCATCGTTGAGCTTGCATATGTCAGTGAAACACCCCTGGCTTCGCTCATGTAGATAAAAATCAACTGCGGTCTTAGCCCAAAGGGTGTTATCCAGAATTGTGTCCGGTAGTTGTTTCCTCTCCACTTCAGATACCGGTACGGTACTGGCCGGTAACTCATACGAGAGCCAACTTGAATCCATCATGTCCAGCACGTCAGAGGGTTTCTCAAGAATCCTACATATGACGCCATGTGAATCGGGCTCTTGAATGGTGGGAGAGACCTCTTCAACGATGACAATGGCTTCTTGAACGGTGGGAGGGGACTCTCGAGGAATGATATAGGCCTCTTCAACGATAGGAGTGGACTCTTGAGGGATGGCAGTGGCCTCTTGAACGGTGAGAGGGGACTCTCGAGGAATGATAGGGGCCTCTTCAACGATAGGAGTGGACTCTTGAGGGATGACAGGCGAGTCGAGCTTCTTCTTGTGGTGTCTTCGCACTATTGGGGTATACGGAGACTTAATAGCACGTGCACGCCGTCTGATGCGTGAACTCTATCATGCAAGAAAAACCCGACGTAAAGCATCCACCTTATCGGTCCGCTAAATAATTAAATACAAATATCAGTAAATAAACAGACATGATATTTAAACAGTGAAAACAAAGACAAATATATTTCAAACTTTCAACCAAAAGATAAAACAAAGACAACTACTAACTTCACAGTGTTAAAGAATACACAGTTTAGCAGAATTGGCAGCATCCGAATAAACTTACTTCAACCAAAAGACAAAACAAAAAGACAAATACTAACTTCACAGTGTTAATAAACAGTTTAGCAGTATTGGCAGTAACCAAATAAATTTACTAAGCAATCTAAGTGAAATGGTTAATTTAAGTGAAATTACGAGTAAATTTATCATCAAGTTAAATATGGAAAATCTTAAACTTACCTCGTTGCGTAGAGTATGAACCTCATTCTGCAACGATACTACCATCTCACGTAGAGCGGCAACCTCACCACGTAAAGTAGACACCTCCACACGCCATGCACCATCGTTATCACGTAGAGTACCGATCTCCTCACGCAAGGCATTGACCTCATCACATAACTCCCTTGACTCATCCCGTGGAGGTGGAGAATAGGGAGATAGAAGTCGTGGCATCTTTGCCGGTCGCCTATCATGAGGTGATGGTGGAGAAGAGGCTCGATGATGTGACGGGATAGGTGATGGCTCTCGTTGTAGAGGTGTATAGTCGGGTCGATCAGGTGATGGCTCTGGGTGAGGTGATGGCTCTCGAAGTGGAGGAAGTGAAGGCTGCTCATCATTCGTGCCATCAAGAAAACGCTGACTAGCTTGCCACCAATCAGTGGCAAGCTCAGCCTTCGTGGGTGTCAGTCTAATTAATGGAATGTTGGCCTCCTAAAAATATAAAAACTCAAACAAAGTTAAACGTCTACTATTAATAACTTGTTTATATATGATAGTATTTGTGTTAACTTACATTATTTATTGTCGCATATGGTATTAAGTCTTCCCAATCCAACAGACGTTTCCTCTTCCAGGAAATAGCCCTGGGAATATCATTTGAAGTTTTTATTGCATATGTCTTCATGGCGGGAAAGGCCTCAAATATCCAAATCTACAAACAATATAATAACAACATTAGTAATTGTTAAATAATTAATTATAATTTTGAAAACATTATATAGAAATTCTTACCTTAAAGACTCAAACAAAGCCTGACAAAGTGTATTTCGACCCATCGCCTCGCAAACTTTTGCGGTCATCAAAGGCAGACGAAAACTTAGTCCATGTAGCTTTCCATATATACGAACCCCACGGAAACAGATTCCATGCATTTAGGTCCTCTACCAATAATATTAGCTCATGAGGAATAGGTTGTCTGGCCTCTCTGCCTAAAAAGCCGACATACAAAAGTAGTAGAAGGCATACTCAGACAAAATCGACGTCATTCATCCGAGTAAAACCATCTTTCTTATTAAACAATTTCTTCATGTCGTCGACGTATAAGTTCGGCTTCTCTATTGACTCATCAGGGAAAACCCTGGGATAACCATGATGGGCGGGATATGACGAGTGTACCGCCTACATCATCGTGTCCGATCGTAGACTAGTGATAAGCAGACTCCTTCCGCCCAAAACAAGTATACGCCGGTGGAAAATAAAACCATATCTCTTCCTCACCACGTTGTATACTGTCGGGTATATCGCTAGTCATGGTCTGAAGCCACAAATGGGTCAATTAGCATCTCCACCCGGATGCTGTACTCTCAGCCATGGCCCGAAGCAGGTTTCTTCAAACAATTTTCTTTGTGCAGGTGAAAGCTTCGAAGCAATTGTAGTGGCTAGGCTAACTTTATTCCTTAATGTCAATGAAGCCGAAAAAAATTTCTACAAAAAATAAAACATACCAAGTTAGATACCAAAAACTACACTATCAGATATACCAAAAACAATAAACATAAATAGTAGTTTATTCTTGAAACTAAAATTTGCAACACTGTTTTGTCTTTTGGTTGAAATGAAAATCGCAACGAGATAATGAGAATCGCAACGCGGAAATGACTATCGCAACGCGAAATGACTATCGCGACAAGAGAATCGCAACGCGAAATGAAAATCGCAACGCGAAATGAAAATCACAATGCGATTTTGGTTTCGCGTTGCGATTTTTATTTTGCGTTGCGATTTTTATTTCACGTTGCGATTCTCTCGTTGCAATAGTTATTTCCGCGTTGCGATTTTCATTCTCGAAACTATTCTTCTTCTGCATTACTTCAACCAAAAGACAAAACAAAGAAAAATACTAACTTCACAGGCTAAACAGTTTAGCAGTATTGGCAGCAATCAAATGAATTTAATAAGAAATCTAAGTGAAATGGTTAATCTATTATTGAAATTACCAGTAAACTTATCATCAATCTCAATATGAAAAACCTAAAATAATGCAAAAATTTCAAAATAAAAATAAAAAAAACTAACCCTCGGAGGTTGATTTTCCATTTCTGAATGATTGTGAGGGATTTTTGACTGTGAATGGTTGTGAGGGATTTCGCCGGCGATGGGGACGGAAATCTTCGGAGATGGGGACGGATTTCACCGTAGAGAGTGAGAGATGGAGATGGGACTGAGTGTTGTGATTTTGGGTTTGAGGTTATGAGTTGCGATTACTGTGGACGGTTCAGTTATATTATGAATAAAATAGAATTGGTGGTAATATAGAGATAGTGCTGAAGATAAATTACAGTATTATCTTTAGAGTAAAGAGACGAGGGCTGAAGATGGATTAGGGAATTTCATCTTCTACAATCTCTATTAACCAAAACTGCAATAAAAACCGTACCAGCAAAGCTAAAGCGCATAACATCTTCACGTCTCCTCTTGCCTCCCATTCTAACTCTAGAAATTCATCTTCTTCATCCACTCTAATAAATGAATTCGTAAACTTCCGTTACCTTAAGGATCTTCCAAGGGCTTTAAAAGCCATGGCTACTATGGAAAGTCACGGCCTTTATGCTGACCCCAACACCTACTCAGAGTTAATCAAGTGCTGTGTAGCTCGCAACGCTGTAGAACAAGGCAAGCTTGTTCACAAGCATGTTTTCTTCAATGGGTGTCGACCAACAAGGTTTCTTCTCCACAATCTCATCGATATGTTTGCAAAGTTTGAATTATTCGAAGAGGCGCAGGCTGTGTTCGACCAATTGCCTGAAAGAGATGTTGGTTCTTGGACGATCATAATATCTGCTTATGCTAAAGCCGGCCTGAGTGGCAAGGCGTTCGAGTTCTTATTTAATTTTTTTATATGTGCTAATTTTAAAATTTAAAAGGTACAAATTTAATACAAGGAAGGGAATACTATTAAATAAACGTATCTTATTTTGGAGATTAAAAATCTTTTAGGTAATTTTAAACGATAAATTTAAGTATTCTTTTGGATGTTTGGTTTAAGAAATGTTGGATTTTCATGGAAATGAAATTCACATTCTTATGTTTGGTTGGTCGAGAATTTCATTCCCGATAATGTTTTATTATCAAAAATAGATTTTTTGGTATATATTACCGAGAATGTCATTACTTCCATTTCCTTAAGTATTGTTGGATTATCGGCGTTTTGGATTAAAATGTCATTAAAAAAAATTCTAAAAATTTTATATGAAGTTTAGAGGTTAAAATAAAATTTTACTATTTCATTAAACCTTTTTATATTTTCAATTTTGTAAAAATTATATATAAAAAATTTATGAATTTAAATTTTTTGAAGAAAATATTTAAATATTTTCCAACTTGTTAAAAAACAAATATATAATAAGGACAATTTGATCAATTATACATTCCAATAATATTTTATTCCTTTAACAAAACACGGTAATCTTACATTCCTGCTAAACCAATCAAACACAAAATATAACATTCTAAGTAATCATTTTCCCTGATAATCTTACATTCTCACTGGTAATCTTACATTTTCGTGAACCAAACGCACCCTTTATATTTTATAAATTGTAATTTATTATTGATAATTCGATATTATAAATCAAATTATTTTTCTATAAACTATATTTTAATTCTGACATATTATACGTGTGGAAGATAAATTACAATTACATGCTGTTTGATATGACGATCTCTTTAAATATAATATTTTTAATTATTTTTTATTAAAGTATTTGTTTTGGACAAAATGATTATGTACGTAAAATATAAACTCACCAAGGCGGACATCTTGATCTTTGGTAAGAAAAATATTGGAACACTGCCAAGATAGGGCCACATGTCAATCCATAAATCATTTACTAGAAAGACTAATCTAATTTGATACAAACCTTTAGGTCACGATGCAGAACAAAATTTGAATGCAGATATTCAACTGTTAGAAGTAGTTGCACAAACCACTTGCAGAGTTTCTGCACAATGTTTACAATCATCGGCGTTAACTGCAACTTATAATCCTATAAGAAAATAGCAAAATCAACAGCTATAGAGAAATTAGATGACCTCTTCGGGGAAATAGACCCCATTTGATTTTTTCATCAATCCAGCCCTGTGAAAAAGAACACAAAATGAACAATATTGACACATTGCAAAAATTGCAGAAATTGAAAAGCAAAGTTCTCCTCACAAGCTTGGAGACTCACATATCGCCACCTTCACAATATCCAGTAACAATGCAAACAAAGCAACCCTATATTACAATCACAAAACTCAAATTCAACATCAATGAAAGACAACCACCACGTACTCAACAAGTTACTATTTAAAAGTAGACATCGATTCCAGTATCTCAGCAAAAAAAAAAAAAGAGCAGTACCGTATCTTACTTTTTCAACCCAAGCTTCCTTAAACTGAACAATGTAAGGATGTTGAACTCGCGCAAAAAGTGCCATCTACATTCCACAATATTCGAACGAAATTACAACTTGTAAATTGAAACTCTCTATTACATGATAAATTATGTAAACAAAATAAATTGACTAACTTCTTGATGAGCAGATCTTCTGCAACGCTCCGTTTGCCGCGCCAGTCTGATCTTCTTCAATACATACCTGAAATTTTTGAAAAGATCACCAAAAAATATTTTAAAAGAAAAGAAAACACACACGTTTATATAATTAGAAATTTAGAGTTTGAGAAATAAGAATAATACTTTTTCGTCTCGGATTTGTGGTGAACGAGAATGGCAGCACCGAAAGCACCCTGGCCGATTTGTTCCATAATTTCGTACTGATCCATTCGAGACTCCATTGATTTTAACTCTTTGCTCGATTCCCCCTCCCCCTTCCAATTAGAAGTTTCTAACAAGAGAGATTAAGTAGAGAAAAATAAAACTAAAGAAAAAGAACGTCAATTCGTTTTCGTCCTAAAACATTTTTTCTCCGGATCTCGACCACATTGCCGGATTCTTCGCTTCAATTTCAGTGTAGCCAATGCGTTTCAACAAAATTTAAAGACAACCGATCATCATTTCTCAAAGCCATGGAAACCTTCTTATACGATTATCTCCTTTCTTTCCATTGCTGTAATCCCAGACCGATGCGGATAGCCCGATCCGATCCGGGAAGTCACATTAGGGCTACCGGAGCGACCCACTGTAAAAATAGCAGAAAATTTAAAATTTTTTATCAGAACATGTAAACTTATAAAATAAATTTTCACTATTTAAAAATAAAACAGATTTCCAAACTCGTATATAAATCAAAATACAATTACATGCCCCCTAATCACATGTATCATACTCTGCAACAACGCCGGATGAACTCCCTTACTGAAGTCGATAGATACACTGGTACAATTCTTTTAACCTGAATAGGTGAGTAATAGAATGAGCTTTGGAAAACTCAGTAATACAGAACTACCAGATGATGCTGATGAACGTACAGATACAGATAAATATATATTTCCTTATTGTTTCCGATTATTTACAGATTTTTATGCTGAGCAGAGATCCTACTGATATTTCAGGTGGTAACAGACAATGAGCTTTCAGTTCAGACAAATATTTCGGATGACTGAGTTCATGAGATCATAATAGGTTATCTAGTGTGTTCCCGCAAAACCTGTGAAAAGATACATATCTTTTCTTTTAAAATAGTGGCAATTTAAAACATATTTTTATTCAAAAACCATATTAATCCATCCACCACACCATAATGTGTAGGTTCCCCAGAACCATACACCACCAACACACCAAGTAAGGCTCTGAGCACAAAGCAGAGGAGCCTGCAGTAACGGTAACGATAACTTCCTCCAACAACACCCTCCCATAAAACATTTATCAAAAACCATAGTAATCCCTCCAACCGAACACACCATAATGTGTAGGTTTCCCAGAACCATACACCACCAACACACCATAATGTGTAGGTTCCCCATAACCATACACCCACCAACACACCAAGTAAGGCCTCGAGCATAAAGCCGAGGAACCTGTATATATAGTAACCTCAAACAATACCCCCAAATAAAACATATTCCGTCTGTAAACGGATATATTAAAAATCAAAACATAATTCATGTCAAGTATCATATCAGAATCCAAGTCAAGTATCAGATCATAATCCATGTCAGATATCATATCAGAATCCATGTCAAGTATCAGATCAGAATCCATGTCAAGTATCAGATCAGAATTCAAATCAAAAATCAGATAAAATATTCATGTGGGTAGGGAACACACCAGAGTTTACAGATATTATTCATAAGTACATAATAATCTTATCAGGCAGAGAAACACGGATCTTCAATATACCGATAGAATGTTGGGATTTATAATCACTATTGGAAGAGTTCAATAACTGATGGAATCATAAGTTATTCAGAATGTGAATTATCAGGATATTATCTTATTCGGACAGTTTTCAGAAGCTGTACGTAATCAGAAGGGTATTCAGAATCCTTTACATCCATGTCAATTAATCTGATAATCGAACAACTTGAGAACAAAGATTCAGAACCTTAACAATCTATATTGATTGATCGCATTATTGAACAACTCTTAGATGAATAGTTCCCAGAACTAATACTTATTGACTGGTCATTTCGTGTCCTTCTAGGGTATTTACACTTTAATACCAAAAATTTTTATCCGTAAATCATCTTCGGAATCATCAGTGAATAGATCTTCCAATGTCTTTATTTCATTTTTACGCTTCCACAATATCATGAAATACTGATGTGTTTGATTTGTAGTTCATGATCCAAAAGAACAGTACATCGTGTATGTTCATTAACGTTTCCAGACTCATCCAAATCACTTATTAGAATCTTAGTCATTGAAGTTACTTATTTCACTTAGTAGTCAAATCCATTCCAATTACTTCAGAGTTTTCCAGAGTAAATTAGACATTTTCTGAATTTCAGATACATGTTGTACTTTTGTTCAGTTCAGTATTCGTGGTTGATTTGTCGAAAAAATGTCCAATTCTTAGTACTGAATATGATCTAGAGTTGAGTTGAGCTGAATACTTCCAAATTTATCATTGAGCCAAACTTGAGAAGACGAACACATGTTCCAGTAATATCTATGCCATTCAGGTATTGATATAGCTTTAGGGTTGATCTATTCACTTAAATTGTTTTCCATTACCTTTAAAGGTAGACTAATACTTATGCTTACTTGGATTCCTTAATTAATCCAATACATTTACTTAATTTAGGCCATAAGGGTATTTTGGTAATTTTGATGTTCAGTTTTATTCCATTCATTTCAGAGCTCGAGGATATTCAATCATTCCTGAGCTTGGTGATATTCTTGAGTCATTTACATTACAGGGGTATTTTGGTCATTTTACAGATTCACCGTATTTCAATCCTTTCATTCCGTCCGATCTTACTATTAAAATCAATCTTATCATTTATTTCAGTCCTTTCGAACAATTATGATAGCATAATACCCCTGATAAATTACTCTTCAAGTATTTACTCATTATTCGAATATTTTTGGGTCAAGTGTCTTCTCAGATTTTACAAAGGGAAAATCAGGACTTTTCCTGAACTAAGTCAGGATCTTAACAATCAAATCCGTACCTAATCGAGTTAAGTACGAATCCTCAAAGTATTTTCTCATTCAGCGTTAACTAGGACTATTTTACCTCTCAAGGGCATTTCTGTAATTTCTTAACCAGATAATTTCGATATTAGCTCTTAACGAAAATAATTATAATTTAAAGTTCCTATGATCAATTGCTTTCCCGAACATTCTCTTATCTTGAAATGATTCCTTAATAGAATTCTAATATCTTGCACAAACCCTCTAGGGTTAAAAATCAGTTATCCAAAATATCCAAGTAAAACTAACATTTCTTAAGCAAATCAATATTTTTTTTATCAGATCAATATGTCTGTAAAAACCTCTTATCCAACTTCCATATTCCAATCTTGTCTTTTTATAACACAAGGGTATTTTCATAATTTTACCCTACCGGAGTATTCTCATAATTTCTCATCCAAATACCTTTAACATTTAACCTTTAATGAAATAAATTATAAGTTACAGATCCAGGTTGATTTCTTTATCACTAAGCACATAACTTGTAATTTAATTCTAACAATCCCTTAATTTCTTATAAAGGTCATCTGAACCATAATCAATTACTGAACTTTTTTATCGTATTCAGATCGAGTGTAGAACTTCATTAATTACACATATGAGACCAACCATTTCCATTCATGCATTTACCAATACCAACATGTTCTATAAAGCATAAAGAGGTAGTAAAGTATTATCTCGATTTTTTGTGCAATACTGATCGACCATAAAATTCCATTCGAACGCCTTTGATCTTCAATTCAGCTTCCAACAATTCCTCAGATACATATCAACATAAATTATATCAGAAACGGAGCTTAATTGAGATAAACAGATCGAATCGGATGATAAATCAGTTAAAACCAACTTACCGGGTTCGAATTTGGCGAAACCGACTTCGGATTCGGATTCAGGACGTCGAAAGCATAAAATATGACTTTTCGAAAATTTAGAATTTTTGGTCAAAATCAAAGTCAACAGGTTTGACCGGTAATTTCGAGGCCTTCGGGTTCGAATTTCAAAAAATGGACAGCGGAATCGGATTTGGAACGTCAAAAAATGTCAAGATAGGTATACTCGGTCGAAGTCAAAGGTCGTTTAATGCCCGATCAAAGTTTTGGTCAACAATGGTCAACGTCGTTCAACGGTCAACGGGTCAATGGGTCGGGTAAACGGGTCGGGTCTGGTAAACGGGTCTGGTCGGGTCGGGTTATGACCGGTCAACTATGTATCAAAACCGGTCAAACCGGTCATTTTTCCTTCCCCACGCGCAGTGGCGGAGCGTGGGGGCGCGTGAACAGTGCCTTGATATCGGAAAATTCCCGGAAAAATTCCTAAAAATTATTTTAAGCGATTTCGAGATACTTACAAAGCTCGGTTCAATTTTTTGAACGGCGGAGATCTCGATTTCAACTAAACGGAAACTTTGACCGCTTCACCTCCATACGCGCCGCCGCCGCCTGAGAAAATGGAGGACACTGGTGGACTCGGAACGACACAAGGAACACGATGGTGCGGGAGGTGTCGTAAACAGATGACCCGATCGTCGTGAATCGATGAAAAACCAACTAAAATTGAGTTATTACCGACGATACTTCTGACTGAAATTCACGATGAACAGCGATGATTCACGACGAAAGGTTTGAGGGGTTTTGTTCCTCGGTTGACAACGAACACGATGGTGGTTTCGGCTTGTCGATCGGAGGTAGGACGGCAAGTAGATCGAAGTTGAAAGTTGGTTGATCGGAGAGGGAAAATCTGGAAAATTTTCCAAAAAACATACGTGAATGAGAGTTTTATAATTCAACTCATAATAAAAATGGGTAAACTATGAGTTTAGTCAATGAACT